TCCTTGCCAATAGGGGTACATGGAAAAAAAATATTCCAAGCAAAAAGAAGGGGGGGGGGGGAAACGAAGAATTGACATAATAGCGCAGAAAGTCCCAGTCCCTACAGAAGGGATGATACTGCTTATTTTCTTCAGGGGTTAAAAAGCAGCTGCCTTAAGGGACATCTCTGTCATTCCAACACACACACACTTGCATTTCACTGCACATGATCCTGAATATGTAATGGTCAGTGGGGTTTCTGTTGATGGAACATAAGGCTTCCAAAATTACTTGAAACATCAAATTACGCTCAGGACTCTGAGGGGCGGATACCCTATGTTCTGTTTAATGTGTATGTTCCATTGCATATATTTTTTTAAACCAAGTATATCTTTATTTTAATAACAGACCAAGGACTAAAAACACTTTAGAGAAGGGCTATTTTTCTACCTCAGCAAAACTACAGAGGACACGCTAAATTGTTGGATGACCCCAAAGCCAAAGTTCACTCTATTTAAAACATCTTCAAACCTTGTGAAAAGAAAATATGGACAGGAAAGGGAAATACATTCTTTCCTCCCAACAGGATTTCTCTAAGTCCTTCTTAGAAGCACCACAGTCCTCATCCTTGGACATGACCCTTTCTTCATTTCTTTTCCTCCCTCAGCTTGAGAAGTTGCATTTCCACATTTCTATTCACTCTGTGCATTTCAGTACACAAATATCTTTCATAGCTGCACTCCTTCCAAAAAGACCAATGTCTCTACTCCAGAGAATGAAGGCAACTCGCCTACCTGGCCTGCGTTTCTCCTCCTCTTAATTTGCAGGGAAATGTCCCACATGTACACAATTTAACTAGCCGTTGTTCTAGACAATATTCAGCCCTGAATGAGGTCCTGCCTCCAACAACCCTGCTCACTTTTGCCTCCCTATTTGAATACAACAGTGAGGATCGCATAATGGCTTTTCCCCTCCTTGCAAAAAGGACAGTTATGTTCTTGAAAGGACTGCCCTGTAGCAAGCAGGACAGATCTACTTTGGATGGGCTGGTTATAAGACCATTTCAGTGGACAGTTTCTTAATAAAATTAAATGATTATTTTTACAAATAAGTGATTTGAGGAATAAGAAACATTTTTTTCTAAAACTAGTAACTGAAGAATACTGCAAAGAGTTTGTGAGGATGGAATTTAAAGATAAGTTTATTGTGGTACACAAATTTTACGAAAATCACACCAGTTTTTTATAAGCCGTATTTTCCATAAACTTTCTGAAATCTTTCTGTGTCTTCTAAAAGATATTCCCAAGCTTTAAACATTTTTTTCCATAAAATCTAGAACATTTAACACCAAAAAGGTCATACCTAAAAATCATAGGAAAATGAAAAATCTAAGAAAGATTTCTGATGTTTAATGCCTCCTATCAGCAAATACACCATCTGGTATACTGAAGTGCTGTTCATTCAGCTTAAATAAAGCTGTCTGAAAGCTCTTCTGTGCGCCAAACAGTAAAAAGCGAAAATGCCTGTGTTAACAATGAACGAAACACAGTAATTTATTGTCATGAAAGCACCACTGGCCCACACCTTGCAGCAGGCGGGGGGGTGGGGACAGGACACCCTGGCTGGCAGAACTTTCATTTTATGCTGCAGGTTGCATTGCTAGAGCACGCCTTACAGCCTGTGCTGAGGGTGGTGGAAGAGGGTCATCTGACTCTGGTGTTTGAAAGTCTGTATAGTCTCTTCTTTTTCGAAGTCGTCCTATAGATCTGTAAGTTTTAATCAACAATTTCACAATATAAATTTCCCCACCATTAATCATCCTTTTTCGAAATACTTATGGAGTGAATTACTGGCTGAGAGGGGAACGCCAATTCTAGTAAGTGAATGTTACCCAGCAGGGATATAAAGCTGTCAACACCACCGTGCTCTTGCTTGCTCTAAACTCTCTCCCAGCCTGCCTTCATATGTTTTTTAAAGAGATATTAGCCTTATTTTTTTCTTCCTGAGGACTTTCCATAAAAGCTGACTGTCATATACATCTGAGCACTTTTATTTTATTACACACAGGCTTTATAACAGTGCTTGAGGACAAGCGAAAACATCCTAGAAAGTGTTAGAAAGAGAGCAAAACTGATCTTGTTTCCAACGAGAATCTTCTAAAGCTAATCACATTGTAAACAATGTACTAACTTTTAAGTCCCCTATTAAAACACAACCATGAAAACAGCGGTAGTGTGTCTACAACCTCCCAAGTTAAATCCAGACACTAAATTAATGCCCTCCTTTTATGAATACGAAGTTCTCACTTCACACACACGCACAAAGTCCCTCTCCGCAAAAAAAAAAAAAAAAGAGTAACCACAGCAGAATTTACTATTGCAATCAATGCATTCAGAAACATTTATTTGCCTCACTGCTTATCAAAAGTAGCAAGATCAATCGCTATTTTATTGGGCCAACAGTTCACTTAATGATTTCCCCTATTCCTGGGTGGACAGCTTTCAAGAAAAAGAAACACTAAAGACTGACAAATATACAGTCCCAAATTTTAAATTATATTTGCAAACACACTTATTTTATCACACCAATCTTTACAGCATTAACAGGACTGTAATATGTCCAAAAATGGTAATAAATGGTGTGGAGCTATAAGTATCTTTGTAGTTACTTATGCTTATTATATTACTTTACAAAACAAAATATAAATAAAGGGATTCATAGAGGTGGAAAATATAACATATTATATATTTATCCTATGATCCACAAAAAATAATTTTTCAATTATAAAGTGTCTCTAACTAGAAATATATTTTTTGGCCTTTTATTTTTTTAATTTAGAATGTACTTCTAAGGGGGTTTGGCTTTGCTCCTATACACACCCATATATATATGATTAAAAGTTAGAAATTGAATTATTAACATGAACATTTGGAAGCCATATAAACTTAAACCCACAAAATAATCACTAACATTCAATAACAAAATTTTGCCTATCAAAATTTTATATTCTAAGTATTGTGAAGTTCTCCAAATTATCCTTTTCAGGAAACAACCATGAAAAATCCACACATACAAACTGTTTTATCCACTTATACTATTAAGTATCACAAATGGTACATATGAAAATGCCATCTTTATTTTCTGTTTGGAAAACAGCTAAAGAGATCTTTGATATGACTAAAACCTCCAAGCAAGTAACTAAGGCAGGCTGCTGAAACGAAGCCATTATTCTTCATGGATACAGGTTGTCTGTAACCGACTGATATGAAGTGGTCACCTATGAATTCCAGTTTCTGAAAGGCAACCCACTAGCTAACACTACAGGTATCCCTACTCAACAGAAAGAGGCATTTCCTTTCATGGTTTCACCTGATACCGATGAAAACAAAAGCCACTTTCTTCAAGGGATACACACTTGTCAATAATTACATTCTAAAATACTTAGAGGTTTCTTTCCATTTAGTGAATTATATTAAGTCTTTGGAAAGAGACTGAATTTTTAGTCCAAGTTTTTCTTTGCTCATAAGGCCATTTTAAGAACGCTGTCTCCAAGGATTTTCAATGATGTTTCAATCAGACCTCAGCAATACTTATCTCACATGTGGATTCAACATATTCATGACATATTTTTCCTTCTTACATGCATCATCAATTGGGAAGTCCCAGTAATGGCTCCAGTCACAGGGTATTAAAAAGCCCTACTCTTGAAAAGCAGGTCACATTACTATCCAGTTTCCTTTTGCTTCATTAATTCTATTTTCCAGTCTTCAAACAGACAGATACCAGCCTGTACCATCTATGGCCAAATCTAATGTTTAAAACTTTGAAAGTTGGGAAGGGGAAACTTTTCAGAAAGTTTATCATAACCAGCACCAGGAAGAAACAGAGGAGGCAAAATAAGTAAAAGCAAAGACGTGTCATCTTGTAAAATGCTTGTTTTTAACTTTTTTAAAAGGAGGTGGCCATTTGCAGTTTGGTATTTAAAAACACACAGACACTTGAAATATGGGGAGAGAAACTTATCACTAAGTTTTGCCAGGGCTTTATGCCTTTCAGACAGGTCAACATGAAGAATTCTACTAAATAAGCTACTGTTAGAAAACGGAGGGAGAAATGCCTTAAGGTCAGAAAAAAAAACCTTCTGATTTACCCCCAAACACACCAAAAAAAACAAAAAAACAAAAAAACTGTAGACTTGTGCACTTAAATATAAGACATTTAAGTAAATAGCATGCAAACAAACTTCCACATAATTTAATGTTTAACTTTCTATCTTTTTAAAAAGAAGACTCCTTTTTCTAATCACTGAAAAAGGAAGTAGCTGCAGTAGCAAAAGCAAAACAAAACAAAAATTCTTAGGAATGGATACAGCATGTAGTCAGCAGGCTCTGCTGCCTTGAATTTTATTTTAACCTACTGTCCTGTGATTCCCAACAAGGTCACAAACGCATGCACAAACTCATAGACAAGAGCAGCGGCTATTTTCTAAGTGCCTCTTAGATTCCTGAGGATTCCTTATTTCCCACTTTGAGATATTACAGGAAATATTCGCAGTTGTCACTCATTTGCCTGGGAGCACCGTCCTAACAGCAGAGTCAAGCCAAGCCTCTTGTTCCAGCTCTGGGGTGCGCAGGAAGCACTACTCCACACAAACCAGAGTGCCTAAACTTCATCCCCACAGCCGACACTCTAAGGCAAGGCAAAAGAGTTAAAGCACTAAAAAGCTCTCTAGGAAAATCTAGAAACAGTTAGCTGGCTGTGACATAAACCTGCCAACACCTCAGCACACAGTGGCAAAGTGCCCAAAAAATGCCACCCTCTGGGTAAACCACTTTCTTGTTTCAACTCAAGATGAAGCTACCAGTTGCAGATGAGAGGCGACTAGAGCATTATTTGGCAACCTGGAGTTGACTTCCTGTAATCCTACACCGAGACAGCACCTAATCAACCTGAACCCTGACACCCGGACCATTATCACTGGGCCGCGGGCTGCGCGCGCCTCCCAGCTCTGGGCTGTTACCTCCCACGGCCTTGGCCACGGCGCCGTTGGGCCTCCCGCGGGCTCCCATGGGGCTGCCGTTCTGCTCCAGCCGGGCCACCTTCACCGGGGGAGGCCCCTTGACGTCGGGGCTGCCGCTCCGCCGGTCGGGGCTGTCCCGCAGACACGGGCTTTCGCTCCGCCGCTCCATGCTGCTCCGACTCGGAGACAAAGTTCCCACCGGCAGGTCGCAATAAAACGCGCAGGGACCTAGGGAGGGGGCGGGGGGAGGGAAGGGGGAGGGAAAAAAAAAGAGGGAAAACCGCTCACACACGTGATAGACGTTCAGGCCAGTGGCAGAGCGCGGCACCACAGCCACGCAAACTTCCTCCCACGCTACCCGAGGGGCCCAAGCCTGGGAGCAGATCTACACCTCAAGGCCGCGCCGCTGGGAGCCCAGAGCTCGGGGTACCGAGGCGCATACTCGGACGCGGCCAGAGCCAGCGTGCAGGTTTGCCCATTCATTAGGAGAAGCAGAAACCCTTCCGGGGATGCACCAGCCTCGCTGTCCCGAGAGGAGGTCAGGGTTGTGGAAGTGAACGTCACAGACAGATTCACTCCGGGAGCGTTTGTGTGCATAAGTCTGTGGGTCACCGAATTAGTCACCTGACAAATGCGCCCAGAGTGGCTAGGCTGGAGCCAAAGGCCGAAGAGGAAGAGGACCCCCAGATCCCGGCTTTTTACCTCTACCCAGGGGCAAGTCCTGAGACAAGCACACTTGGCGTTAAAACTGATTCTCCTTCTACATTAAGACTCGTCGGAAACCACTCCGAGGCATTACCACCCCCGGAGTAAGGTCCGACACTAGGGCAGGAGCTACGGTCGTTAGCACCTGCCAGCGTCCTTATCTCCATCTGATCCGCGGGCCTTTTTAAAGGTCCTCGGTTAAAAAAAAAAAAAGACTCAAAAGCAAAAAAGTATCTACATTCTTAGGTGCACAAACAACTTGGCCACCGAGCACCCGGCCCCACGCACGACCTCCCCAGTTTAGAATTGCTTTGCAAAGTTTGTCTCCAGGTTGGCATCGCGCTCTGCAAAGCAGTCGCGGGTCTCGGCCACCCCTGAATTTGGAGGAAGGAGGGGGTGGCACCGCAGAAGGAGGGGAGACACCTGAGGAAGCGGCGCTCGCATTGTCACCGCTACCCGCGGGAGGCAGGAGCGCCGCACCCGCCGTGCGCCGAGTCCTAGCGGGCGCTCCCGCCGCCGAAGGAGCCGCGCCGCCCCGCGCCCAGGAGACAAGGTGGGGGTGGCCGGGGGGAGAGCGAGGATGGCGGGAGGGCGTCGGAGGGCCGCGGGCGAGGTCGGCCCCCGCACGGTGCGCCTGGCTGTCCCGCGGGGGACACTCCCTAGCCCCAGGAGTGGGAGGTGGGCGAGGGGGAGTGGGCTTCCCCGGACAGGCAAGCGTGGTGCGGGAACCCTCGCCCTGTGTACTTACTGCTCACGGTCTGCCTGAAACTTGGCTGGCTGGGGCTCTGTCCATGGAGCAAAAGTAGAGAATCCAGGATGGAAAAGTTTCTGGTGCTGGGCTGTGCAGGCTCCCCTAAGTCTTCCTTTTCTCTTCCCTGCGGCCCCTCTCCGCCTCCCCAGGTCCTAACGTTTAAGGTCCTGGGTCAGGGTGTCTTCCTCTCGTGCGGAGATGCTTGTTATGATGATGATGGGGGGCGGGGGAGGGGGAGGAGGAGGAGGAGAGGGAAAGGAGGGCTCCTCCGAAGGGGCACCAAGGGAGCGGGGGAGGGGACGTGGAGGGGGAAGGAGGCTGAAAGAGCCTTTTCACACCTTCGGGAAGGAGACCCGTGCTGGAGAGAAAGGGCTGAGGACCGGCCGGCGGCGGCGGCGGTGGCTGCCGGCTCCAGGGCCTCTGACTCGCCAGGAGGCGCGGCTGGAGCCGCGGGGCCGGTGCCACCCGGAGCCGAGCAGACGCGGGGGGACCCGGGGCCGCGCGCCGGAGGAAGCGTGCCGGCCGCCCAAGCTGTCACCTCCAGCCTCTCCCCTCGCGGCCGCCGCTGCCAGCAGCCAGAGCCGGACTCACTGACAAGCCGCAGAGAGACTCTGAGAGGGAGATGATTATTAGTTGCGTTGAGTCATCAGGCAAAGTGAGTCCTTTTGGGTTGTCCTCGGTTTCCGATTTCTCCCCCCCCTCCCCCTCCCCCTCCCCGTCCCCAGATCTAGCGCCTTCAAAATAATAATTTGGGGGTGGGGGTAGGGGAAGTCTCTGGGTTATTTCGGGATGGGAATGGGGGGAACGGATCTAAGCCCAAGCCAGACTGGTCCACCGCAGGGAAGGAGGGGAGTGGGGGGCGGGGAGGAGGGCTGGGGAGGTTGCGGGGGGGAGGGGGAGCCCCGCCTGGCAGGAAATTAAACATCAATCAATCAATCGCTGCGAGCGCGGCGACCCTACGGCGGCGGCGGGGCTGCGGACGAAGGCAGAGGGACCGGCGCGGCGGGAGGGGAAGCGGCGATCCGGGAGCGGGAGGCAGGGGAAGAGAATCGGCGGCGGGAGCGGGTGGCGAGGACCGAGCGCGCGGGGCGGCGGCGGAGCGCGGGGCAGGGGCACGGAGCGCGGCGCGAGGCGGCCGGCGCGGGTGGGAGCGCGCGGGCGGCGCCGGGGCCAGCTCCGGTCCTCCTCCTGGTGGCGGGTCCAGGGCGCGGCCGCCTCGCCCTACCCCTGGGCGCACTGGTCCCTGCGCGGAGGCGGGTGGCGACCAGGCGGGCGCCGGGTGCCGCGTCTCCGGGGAGGCGCAGGCTGCCGCGGCGGCGGCGGCAGCAGCAGCCTGTGCGGGGGGCTCCGCGCTCACCACGCCAAGTACTTTCGACTTTGGAGATAGGAGGGCGACCGCCTCCCCCCAGCCCCCACCCGCCGCCTCCGCCCACCACCCCCCGCCTCCGCCTCTCCCGGGAGCAACTTTTCCCGGGGCCTGGGAGGCTCGCCCGGCGCGGGCAGCCGCGGGTGCGGGGCGGGCCGAGCCCGTGTCGGAGCCGGCGGGGTCGGAACAATGGCCCGGGGCTGGGGGTGGGTGGGTCGCCCCGGAGGCGCCGAGCCCGTGGGCAGCGGCAGGGACCGGGGCAAGCCCGGACGGCAGCGCGGCGGCGGGGGATGCCGAGCTCGGGCCGCCTCGGAGGCCGTGGGGCGAGGGGAGCAGCCGGGCTGCGGGAGTCCCGAGCGAGGGCCGGGGCGCACGGGTCCAGCCGGAGCGCGGGGACCCGGCCTCCATGTCCACGGGGGCGGCGGCGCGGGCGCGTCCCCAGCCGGCCCCGCCGGAGCGTCCCCGACACACCAAACTTTTGGCGACTCGCGCGGCCGCGGCCGTCCGCCGCCGGGGCTCCGGCCGCCGGGGCTGCTTTAAGGTAGCGCGGGCCCCCGCCCGGCGGGCCCGGCCCCGGCGGCCGCGCTGCGCTCCCCCGCGCTCCCACCCGGGAGCGGCGCCTCCTTAAGGGAAAGCACGTGGGCAGGGGCCGCGGCCCCCACGAGTCGCCCGCGGCGTCTGCGGACGCTCGCCCGGACCTGGAGCGGGAACACGTGGACGCGTGTCCCTCGCCCCCCCTCCACGCCGGCCTGCAGGCCCGAGAAGGCCACGCGCGCCCCGACTCGCGGCGCCTGCGGACGCCCCCCGCGCAGCGCGGCTCTCCCTCCGGATCCCCTGGACCCCGAGGACGCCCCGCTGCAGCTCACAGCCTAAGCCTCCGGTCCCCCTTAAGAAGCCTTCCCTGTACGGCGGCGCCAGAGGGCCAAACCAAGTGCGATTTCGGGAAACGCGCTCCCGGGCAATTCTGGAAAAGCCGGCCCCGGGCCAGGAGCAGCTGAAAGCCGCGTCCCGGGATCGCGCCCGGGCGTAGGCCGCTGTCCGCCGGCCTCGCCCCACTCCGTGGACTTGTGTTCACGTCGCCTGCGGGGCCTCCAGAGCCTCTGGAAGAAAAGGGGGTGGGGGTCCCAGAAAGGAACACCTGCCCCCGGCCTAACTCCGGGCACCCCGGATCCCGGCGGACCCCGCACCCCGGCGCCGCCCACCCGGGGCCCAGGGAGCCCGCGGCGACCCGGGAGGCGGGAGTCCGGCGGGAACGCCGCCTGCACGGGAAAGCTGGGCGGCCGGGCCGCGGTGCAGCCCGGGGGTCGCACAGCGCCTTCCTGCTGTGTCTCCCCCCTAACCTGTCCTCCCCCGCGCCCCCCGCCACCCGCCTCCGCCCCAGTCGGACGGGTCCGAGAAAATGCACAAATGCCAAGTCGGGGAGAGCAGTGGCTGAGTCCTCAGCACGTGGTGGTAGTTAAAAGGTTTTGGCAGCAAAGAAACAAACTGTAAGTTTGATCGACAAACTTTTTTTTTTTTTTTTTAATTTGTAAAGGGGATGTTGAAGAAAAAAACTACCCCTGCCAGCCTGAGCCGCGTTCTAGAAAGAGCGGAGGCGCCTTTCTCGCTGCTACGTTAAGGTTACTCTTCCCTTCCTTACCTTGGTCTTAACTGCGGACTCTCCCGGATCAATGTCCCAGAACTTAGAATTGCTGATATTAGGACGTCAGGACTTCTGGAAAGAAAAAGAAAAAACATGCAAATGGTTTAGCCAGGCTCGTTCCTGTGTGATTCGTCACTATTATTATATCAGATGATGCGAATGGCTGGAGCGACCCGTCCTGTCATTAATGAGCTATTTGATCCACACCACCAGCGAGCTTTTCACGTGCATTTGGCTAACCTGCCCCCGGCTTGTGTCAACAGCAAGAATAGGGGACTAAAGCTGCGCGCTCTCATAAACAACACGGCCGCATTGTTAATCAGTTAATATTTTATAAAGTGTAAATATTTTATTATGTTTTGAAGGGAACTATTGATTCTAAATTAGTAAACCCCTTAGGAAGGGGATATTTAAATAAAGGATACAATTAAGCACAATTAAAAGTACATTGTGGCTTAGTTTGTTTTTGTAGTCTACACCTTTTTAAACTCATGGCTTTTCATCTCATCTCCCACTTGGGGCAAAAGAAAAAAGTCTAAAAACGGTTCAAATCGCAGGGAGCAGACAGGGAAATGTCAAAGACGGTGACATTAGCAAACACGTACTTTGAAAATGTGTACATTCCTGTGTGGTAATACATCTTACAAATTTCTTCGATTTAAAAAAAGGGGGAACTCTAGCAAGTTGTGCGTCTGATGCCTGCTGTGGGATTCCTCCCCCCCCCCCACCCCTTAGTTTTGGCCCCTTTAAAAGCCTTCTCTGTTTCAAATTACTTATGCTTTTTAATGCACAATTTTTGTATTGACCTTATTTCAACTGAAGTCAGCAATTATTTCCAGCAGGTTTAATTTCTACAACAAGAGATATTTTAAATAGCCTTTTTACAAATCTTTCCCTAGGATTTCTTACATTTTCAAACAGTAAATAAATAAATTTGATGATGAATCAAGATTTTTTTGTTTGGTTTCGTTTTGTATGCCTCACGTGGTTTATTTCCAAACATTTTTTGAAACAAAATCGCACTCCAAGGTTGGTTTAATTACATTACTCTTTTTTGATAATCTGACCCAAAACTGTACGTAATTTTTGCCCGTTTGGAGAAAACTGGGTTTGTTGTTGTTGTTGTTCTCCTAACAGTTCATAGATGAGGGACGTTTAGGTCCCTCGGTTTGCTTCTCATTGATTTTTTAGTAGGAAAATCTGCTCAGACTTTCCTTCTCCCAGTCTCAATTCGATTATGATTATTATAATCAACATTGCCACTTCGTCAAAGGTCGCCTGCCTTTCAGGATCACGCTGAGATGTATTATTTTCCAAACCAACGGCTCTATGTAATGCCTAGCTTTTCCTCTTTCCCCCTTCGTCCCCTTTCTCCCTCTGTCTAGTCAGGTCTTTCTTTTACTCCTAGGGCCCAAACGTTTGAACGATCCCGTTTTTGGATTTTCTCTTTGCGGACACCAAGGTTTTCGCTGTGCGGGTCAGCCTTTGCCTGAGCGCCCTGGCCAAAGGTGCGGGGTGCGGGGCACCCTGTCCCCCGCCGGGCCGCCCTCCGCGCCCAGGCTCCCCCACGCAGACTGGGAGTCTCGGCCGCGCAGGCCCGGAGGCCTCGGGCTTCTGCTGCCTGCTTGGGAACTCCAGCCGCTCGTGCCGGGCCGGGGATGGGGGAGAACTCTGCGAACTGCCCGCGCCCAGGCCTTCGACGGCTGCTGAGAACCAAACCCCGAACTGGGCCTGCCTCCCTCGTCCCCCACAGTTTGCCCCGCTGCAGGGTAGGAGGAAGGCAGGAGAGGAGAAATTCTTTAAAAAAAAAAAAAAAAAAAGAGAAAGAAAAAGAAAAGAAAGAAAAAAGAAGAAGCAACAGTAGCCCACGCCAGATCTGAAGCCAGTTTCTGCAGCTGGCTGTCGGTGGAGAGTTGGGCAACACACACTTTCACCAACAGCACAGCGGAGTGGCTCTCGGGCTGGAAACCAGCTGTGCCAGGAGGGCAGGGGGCCTGGGCCAAGACCTTTCTGCCCGTAGGGGCTATGCCTGGAAGGATGGGACGAGCAGGGTGGGCTCCAGCTCTTCCCCAGTCCGCTGCTGGGCATCTGGGGGACTGACCAGCACGAAGGGGCAAGGCGCATGGGGGCGGGAGGGGGCACTTACTTCGTTATCTGCACGCCTTCCTGGTTGGCATCACAGCCGGACAAATCCCAACCCGCGCCAGGCAAAGATAAATTACTGCTGGCTCCTCTGGCGGCTTGAGGGCCTGGCAGGGGCGGAGCGGCAGGGAAACCGTCGGGCCGCCCGGGACCAGGACAGCGGGACCTGCCTCCTCCCTTCCGCCCACCGAGCGTGCCCCTACGAGAAGGGTGGTGGGCGAGCGGTCGGCGCTAGGCGGGCACCGGAGAGGTCGGGGTGGGAGGTCGAGGTTCTGGGAAACCGCGCCAGTGTGGAGGCCTAGTGGGTGGAGAGGGAGGCGCAAAGGTGGGTCCTGAGCTTCCTGCACTGGGATGGGGGCTGCGCACCGCCCGCCGGGGGGAGGAAAGTGAGCCGACAGGTTTCACAGCTGGGACAGTCGTGGTGGGAGATGCGGGTAGCCGGCCCCCGCATGGCCGAGGGCCTACGGACCGTGAGCGCTAGCCGAGAGGCTCGGGCAGCGTCCCCCGGAGTTCCCGGGGCGGGCATCCTTGTTCAAGAGCCCAGGGAGTTCTAGGTGGACCTCCTGTAGCCGCCGCCGCGGGAGGAGGGAAGGCTCCGCCA